CTCAGCTAGGAAGGTCAGTGAATATCCAGAAGGTTCTAACATTGCAACCATTTACCATATTGGGAATCACACTTGCACAGCTATTCCTAAGCCCAAGCTACACGCAGACAGTGACATTGAACAGTTTTTCAAAACACATTCAATGGTTAAGCCCTCTGCAGTTCCAACTGCCAAGCTAACAAACATGATCAGAGAAGGCAGACCGTGGTCGGAAGTGGAGGATGTTGCCGAAGCAATGCTAGACAAGAAAAAGGTGCAGAACATAAAGTCTAAAGTAGCAAATAGCATGCATCCCCATGGGCACAACTTTGATGCTGTTGCAGAAATAAAGAAGAAAACAGACGAGAAAGATCAGTACTTAGTCTGGAAAATTAATAATCGTCACTTCAATAATGGCCAACAAAGCCTTGTCTTTAAAACGAGCAGAGAAAAAGCTGAAATATGTGTTCAAATGGACAAAGATCAAAGTGAGCATCCTCTATCCAAAGAGTTCTGTTTCCTTGATGCCGTGCACAGTCGATGCCAAGGCTTCAAAACACTGACCCTTTGGGTGTGGCATCCAACTTTAAATGAGCTTGTTAACTTAGCTACAATGGAGTGTGAGGCCGAGTCCAGTCTCGTAATACAGACGTTTTGGAACAATCTTAATGAGGTAACTTTGATCTTGTTTTTTTGTTAGCTAGGCAGTGTCCCAGTGTTCCATTAATTTCTACTTGTGATTTGTTGTTCTGTTACAAATCAGTGGCTGACGCAGACGTCCTCGGGGCGTGGGGGGGGGGGGGCTAGATCCGCCACTGGAAATCTATGTAATTTTATGGAGTTTTAAAGGCTTGATGGAAGAATGCTTTCAACTGCTCTGGTAAAATTCCGTGCTCGACTACCTGTACAGTATTATGGTCTTAATCCCCATTTTGTTTTACTCTTAGTGATTCTGAAGAACTTTGCGGCAATTTTAATCGCCTGCAAAGTTTTCAGGTTCAAATTGCCTGTGTTCTGCATACAACATGCATGCACTCTGCTTTCATCCCATTAAAATCGCAAGCAAATCGGTGGTTTACACAGGTGATTGGAGGCCTTACGTATACAAATCGCCTGTGCAGGCAATTAACAGGAAAAAGTAAAAAAAAAAAAAAAAAGATTGAGTGGTAAACCGCGCGCATAAAATTGGCGGGAAAAGTTTAAAACAGTTTCAAAGATGACGCTCGTTGCGCTCACGAAATGGTCCACAAAAGGATCGGAGTACCCTGGATTCTTCTACGCCGAGCTACGCCGGACGACAAGAGTCCACTGCTCGCAGGGTACAAAAGGAAATTCAATAGCAATGTTACGTTAAGTTTGCCTATTTTACGCATTTTGCATTTATCTGGACGCATTATTAATAATTTTATTATGTTTTACATCGTTCAGACATATAAAAGAAACACATCATTTAATTTGACAACTTATTCAAAGATATTGAATACGTCATTTTTGGGTTAAAGGCCCTGTATCACCCAAAATGCATTGCGCGCCCAATGCCTCTGCGATTGACTTTAACGCAGGCGAAAATTCCCGAAAGAGCCAATCACGAGCGAGCTCGTCATTTGAAAACAAAATCAAAGGACCGCAAAGCCGAATGGGTGATACTGGGCCTTTGAATCCACAAGTATAATCAGCGATGGATGTGCACTGCAATATTATTAATTGTAATTCATTTGACGTTGTTTTTTTTTTTTTTTTTTTTTTTTTGGTTCTACGAGATTTTACAGGGGACGATGAATATATCTTTAATCCAGCGGGATGGATGTTCGATGAAGCAGGAGGAAACTGGGATGCCATCGAAAAAGTATTTGGCAGTAAATCCTTAGAACAGTGTGTGTCTTGTGAATTTCACTTTTTTCAGTGTTGCAACAGGCAGATACATACGAACTGGAGTGATAAGTCAAAGCATACGTTCAAGACTCTCGCTAGGAACATTTTTGAAGCACCAACGCCTTATCGTTACGATCAAGCCAGGAAAGAACTCGTAGCATTTTCAGATGAAAAGCCTGCAAAGCGAGGTCATATCATTAGCTGGTTCAAATGGTGGCATAAAAGAAGGACCCATATATTTAAGGCGTTCAAATGTGGTGCACCACTTACCCCAAACGTCAATTTGGCTGAAGTTGGTCACTCGCAGTGGGCCAAAAAAGGATCTTACAGGCTAACCCTTGCCATGGCTGCAGAGGAGGATGTGGCAGAAGCAATCATGCTCTCAAAGAAACTTCAATCATACGGTTATGGAACTTATAAAGGAGGAAAACATCGGAGCCAAAGTGACAGACTCAAAGCCAACTATTTCCAGCAAATGACAAGAGCGAAAGCCTTTGGAGAAGAAATTTCAGCAGGTGTTGTCGACAATTCCTTATATGTACAAGCAGAGTCTTCTAGAGCTTCATCTGTAGATGCTAACTGCTCCCATAGAGCGACACGAAAACGAAAACGTCAAGTCAGTGTTTTTAGCGATGGAAGTAACTTAGCATCTTCGTCTTCTGAGGACGATTCGCATCATTCAGCCCCCAAAGCTGGGACACGTGAGGATAGACGTGACGGCCGTTTCCGAAAAAAGTGCCAGTAAGGCGTTCCAGCGCTCCTTGGAGCTCGCCAAGAAGGAAACATTCTTGCTTGTTGACTCTAACGAGCTTGGAAGAAACGAGAGGCAATTCGTAATCAGATCGGGACTAAACACATATGAGGTCAAGATTTCTGAGCATCCAACATGTAATTGTCCGTATGCGAATAGTGCTAATATTTGTAAACATGTTCTTTTCGTGCTTTTGAACTTCTTTAAAGTTCAAGATGAAGACTATCGTCTCTATCAGAAAGCATTGACAAAAAATGAATTGGACGACTTATTTAGTAAGCTGGATTTGAAATCTCCCGTAGTGACTAAACCAACAAATGTAGCCATTTTAACGCACACCACGCTGCAAAAAGGAAGCAAGTTTGGCAAGTACAGCGGTTTAAATCACAACCTGGCCCAAAACCAAGGTGTGCTAAACCAGGCTGCGAGACTCATTTCTCAGATGGAGACATTTGCATTACAGTCGAGGGGCTGTATGTCACACCAAATGCAACCGCGGATGGAAATCGCTTCGCGGTACTACGTAATTTTCGATTTTGCCCCCAAAAAGATTGCATAAGCACGCAACCAAGACAAAGCAATTTGACTGTTCCTCCGATGGCTGTCGCACTAGACGAGAATATCAACATATCTCCCGATGAATATCAGAAATTGATTGACGAGGAGATAATGTAAAGAAATGTAAGGACCTAAGAGCGACAGGACATAGAAATCCCGTTTGGTGTTGTTGTTTTCATTTGAGTTTCCTTTGTTGTTGGAATATACTCTCTTTAGTTCGAATGATATTTCAAAACATTAACTTAAAGGAAAAAAATTAAAAAATAAACGTTCGTTTTTCGCCCATCACGCCGTCGGAAAAAGGAGTGCGTGACAAGCCCAAAAAACATTTGAAGGCAGGCGCCTGTCTCTTTCAGGTCGTGGGGGAAAGGTTCCGCTCTTCAGTATGCATTTATGAAAAGAGTATGCACGAAGTGCGACGGCTGATACCGAAAATGCGCGAAATACTCACGAAGAGGCCCCGAATGTTTCTGCATCAATAATGGCATGTGCAAAACGCTGTCTGGTAAAATACACTGTTTTGCAACGCATTGTTGTTTTTTTGCATGAAGTGTTGACAAAAGTCCGTGGATTAAAATTAGCAAAATTACCATATACTTTTGCATTCGTGTTTCCTCGGAAAGCCTTCGGAGCGTAAAAACAAGCACTTTTGTGTTCAAGAATTCAGACTGAACATTATGAAAGTGATCTACCGTATTTTGATTTTTCTGTAAATAATTTTAAAAAACTGTTGACCATGTCATTGTGAAAACATAAGCTTACCGCAATATTGCGTACGTTAGCATTTCTTATTCACGGGCTGGCTCTTATGCCAGTATTTATTTACAAGAATTTAACCGAGATATCGCAAGTTTTTTTTTTTGTCTCCAGTGAGTTCAGGTTAATTTACATACGCAGCGACTAAAGCGATACTTTAACCTTTGATTCGAAACGTACGTTGTTACGCATATATATCTGCCTCTCAAACGGGGAGGTTGAATGGAATTGTCATTAATTCTATTATTCTTTAAGTTAATGACAGAAAAGAAATACGAAGAGAAAAAAAACACAGCGTGCATAGCCTGTGTACAGACGCCCCTCCCTCCCCTCAGATTTTTTTTTCTGAGGGGAGGGAGGGGCGTCTGTACACAGGCTACAGCGTGCACGGATTGCTTTAGTTTTGTCGGACCGTAATAACTTTGCATACCGACAAAAAAAACAATATCAAGCGACACCTTTAATACAAATGCAGTCACTTCATTCGCAATGCTATAAATAACTAAAAGACCCTAAAATGTCTCGCTACACAGGCTTAAAAATTCATCCTTTATCTGCTGGAAAGAAATACATAAATTCAGGACTTACGGGTTTTGTTAAATTTGAGACCGGAAGTTCGCGAACCCCGCGCCGATTTCTGTTTCAATTCGTGAATTGTAAGTAAACAACAGTTTAATTCAGTTCACTTCTACTTCATTTTTTTAGATCAAAGTTCCCAATATAGCCAGGTGTATACTGGTAGTAAACAACAGCATAGAAAACTTTAGTTCATTTCAATATCATCGAATGTGACCGGTCATCTTGACCGTCAAGGCCAACAAAATGAGGACAATTCAACGCTTCACGTTTGGGAATGTAAAATTATTAAACACTTTTTCATTCGTGAAAAAACGAACAGTCGGTCAATTTTGTGTAAAAACGATCTGGATCTTCCATTAACCACTTTTAAGTTAACAAAAATGAAAGCAACGGTAACTCAAACTTAACTCAGACTTAACTCAAACTCAACTCAAACTCAACTCAACTCGTAACTCGGTCATTAGTATCTCTCCATTCATTGAAGTGATAATCAGACTGTTCCACTCTGCACAGAAAGGCTGAATCTACTGAGTCTCAAATAACGGGATCGTTATTTTAAACAACTAAGAATCCTCTTAAGATATTCATCCATTTACTTGTTGGAAGATTTTAGATTAATAATGCTGGTTTTAACCAGGTTAGAAAACGTTTAGAGGAGCTCAGTCCCGTACGGTTGAAATTTCTATGTCCATCTGCTCTTCCTCCCAGGATAAGGCTATCTTCGCAGGGTTCATATCCAGTCAGTTGTCGCTGTACCAGTAACTAAGGACATGTAGCGAAGGAACTCGTTCGTGTGGAGGATTTTAGCCTCTTATCCTAATGAGGTGTTGATATGGACTCCAGTAATCTAGTGCCATTTACAATAGCTGTAGTAGCGACAATAATTCGACAACCTTATAGAAGAAACCAAAGAACAAGCTAAGTGTCAACAAAGGAAGAATACGAGGCGATAAAGAACGCTCCTAAATTTTGAAAAATTTTGAAAACAACAATGAAATTTCAGAGAGAAAATGAACCCAGTCTACACTGCTCAGTCACGTGTTGCAGGTGTGGAACTGGGTATCGATGGCTCATTGTTGCTTAGTAACTCTGTGATAGAGTTGAGTTTCTAAAAAAATTGAAGGGCTGCGTCGGTTAAAGAGTGAAACAGAAATTTGGTTGAGTTGACAAGTAAATTTCCCAGCTTAAAGAGAACAACCCAGGAGTAGCTTGGAGTAGTAGTATAGGGCGGGTAAAATTCACCCTTTTTCCGGAGGAATGTATTAAAATTGACAAAGCCTGGAGAGTAGTTTGCTTTCTCTCATTATTATTATATACCAACTATTTTCGCGCTCAGAGTCAATGAATCATAACCAAGGATGACAGATGCAAGACTAGGTCACAATGGTCTCACCAGTGTGAGAAGGGCTCAAAAGTCGTTTTCCTTTCCACTACCACAAAAATTAGGTAACTTTATAGGTGGGTCAGAACTTACCTAACTTTCTGGCTAAAAGCCTGATGGCAGAGATCTCTGAGAAGGTGCAGCCACCGAGAAACATAACTAGTTTACACTTTGATCCTCCTGGATTGGTGTCGTTTAAATTAGAATCTGAAGAGAAAAAGAGAGAAGGAAAAACAATATATAACGATTTAGAGGTGGCACATCGACATGGTGATTTTCGTCTCCCATTCCTCGTCGAATTGAAATTACAAAATGTTGGCTTTTGAGGAGAGGAGAAAATAGGAGAAACCGGAGAAAAACCTCTCGGGACAAGGGAAAGAACCAACAACAAACTCAACCCACATAAGGTGTCGACACCGGGTTTTTGAACCCGAGCCAAACTGATGGGAGGGGAGTGCTCTCACCACTGTGCCAGACTTAAAACCCTCAAATTATTCTACAAGGGTTATTATTGATTATTGCATGCTCATTGTACAGAAGCTGTGTCTCTCTGTAATGGGGAAAGAGCCAAGAAAAGTGAAAGCAGCTAAATCTCTTGATTTACAATCCCAAACGCAAGGAAATCAACTTACGTCTCGCAGAGAGAGGCATCTGGGAAGAGAAAACACTGACACCAAGAAGTCTGGACATCTCTTCAAAAGCAGAAAATCCATTCGACAAAACCTTGATAAAAACGGAGTTTCAGGCAATGGTATTCTCCAAGTCGAAGTAACATTGCTCGTTTATCTTTCTTTTAAATGTTTTTTAATATACTTTACCGGAAATGGTCAAATTAAAACACTGAATTTTAAAATAAACTTAACTTACTACAACAAAACAGTTTGAAATACCCAAATTATATTTGTCCATCCCTCAATAATTCAATATTTTGAATTGCAGGAAAACAGCAAAGTGCCAAAAATCCGCTGGATATTCTCTCCGAATCCCAAAGTTATCGCCTAACGCAATTCATCTTGCTCTTTTGCACGATCCGTTTTTTATAATGTTGAAAACGTCTTTTTTTAAAAAAGAAAATGTTTAAAGGACATTGTCCAAGAAAACAGCATGATGAAAAAATATTCTCAAGACTTGCATGTTAACAAAAGGAAATTTTATCAGTAATTTCCCCTTATCTCTGTAACCTTCTATTCATGTAACAGGCTTACCTGTTCCAAAAGTCTACAGGAAATCGGTGTGAACGCACCACTAAATACATAGGCCATATCTTGCGGCTTCTTGAGATCGATTTTATTCCCATCTTTTGGCACCTGTTGATATAAAAAAGCCTTAATAAGCTATCACCCACGGGACCAATTCTAGTGTCCGCTTAACATGGCTGCTTCGTTTTACAGAAAAGATGGGAACGAAAGAAGATACAGGGAGCCTGCGTAAAATGGCGTGCGCTTAATAGTCATGTTTCACTGTAATCAGTATCAACTCTTTCTCAAAAACATGGAAAAGCAACCATGAAAATCTGTCCAGTCTCAATCCCCACGTTTCAACTCATCGACAGCGACAGACCAGTTGTTGCACAATACATACCAGATTTAGGCGTTTGCTGAGAGTTTTGAAAGTGTTTCTCCTCTGTTAGAAAACAAAAATCACAGTATTAGCGACAATATCGCCCGCCAGCCTCGGCATCATCAGTAGCAGTATCAGTTGTGGTGGTGGTAGGGGTAGTGGTAGTGATAGTTTCAGGGGTAGTAGTGGTGGTAGTGGGAGTAATAGTGTTATTGGTAGTAGCCTGTTCCAGGCTCCGAGATGGTGGTGGAAAGTCGTTCAGTAATAAGAAATGCGAAAAACGCGCGGGGGCTGGGGAGAGACACCGCCCCCTTTCCCAAGTCGTGCGCGTCTTATTTTCGCTTTGCTCGTTTTAATACGTTCCCACTATACTATCTGAGAGCCTGGCACAGGCTATATTGGTAGTGGTGGTGATAGTTGTAGTACAGTGGTAGTCGTGGTATTAATAGTGGTAAGGGTAGTGGCAAGTAAGTAATAAGTAATAAATTGCTTTATTAGCATGACCGTAACATTTTACAGTATTGCAAAAGCTAACCTATTTTAATAAATATAGTACACTAATTAACTTAAGTTACATTCCTTTCGCTTGGTACAGGAGGAAATGAATTTCATTATCAGCTTATTTACATGATAGTCGTTGGAGTTCATGAGAAGTTTTATGCCTTCTGATGTCGATTTCTTTTTAATGTCAGGTACTATTTCATTCAGTTTGTTTAAAAAAGTTTGTCTCTACTGCGAAGAGTAATTCAGTATTTTACGAGTTCACAATGGACGTAACCTATTTTCTCAGGCTACATGATCGATCTGATATCGACCTACTTCAACCATAAGTTTGTGATTACTTACTTAAAACTTGACTAACTTTCGTCTTCCATTAAAATTTCTTGGGCCTATGCCAAACGCCGAACTTTTTATGGGACGAACTAAACTCTCATCTGGGTCGACCTAAATTAAGTTAAGGTCGTCTGTTGGGTCAGACTTGTAACTTAGGAAACGTCGAACCAATCAACTGATTCAGACCAAAACGCAAATTTAGCCGAACGAGGCTAAATATACGTTATCTACAACTTTTAATTTATTAGTTTAGTTCATCGCATGTGAAGATCAACGTTTGTCCCGGAGACGATCGTCAGACGTTCCATCCGTCTGAAGCAGACAGACAGATTAACTGAGCCAGACGTCGAACTTTTCATGAACTTAACTAAGTTTAGCCTAGGCCCTTAGCTGGTGCAAATAATGGGATGTAGAGTATTCATTTTTCAAAACTTTACAGAATTCTAATTTCTTTAAATGTTCAAGGCTGTGTCGCCAGGTTGATCGATATTTCTCTTTCATATTGTTTATATGTCGCCTAATTCTATCAATATCTAAAGAATAGTGATATTGGTAGGGGTAGGGTGTTAGTGGTAGCGGTAGGGGTAGGGTAGGGGTAGTGGTAGGGGTAGGGTGTTAGTGGTAGCGGTAGTGCTGGGGTGTTAGTGGTAGTGGTAGGGGTAAGGTGTTAGTGGAAGAGGTAGGCCTAGGGGCAATAGTAGTGGTAGAGGTGGGGTGTTAGTGGTAGGGGTAGAAGTAGTATTGGTGGTACCGGTAGAAGCCAAAGCTTAGTGGCTCACCTGTGAATCGAATTCCGTGTAAAGCCCCAGTTGCTTAAGAGTACTAAACGTCAACATGTGATCATGACCAAAACTCTGTTAACAAAACAATAAAATTTTTTAAAAACCTTGGATTCATAGGCCAATTCTCACCAGGGCTACCCTGCAAGCAGTGGTTTCTCCAGGCCGGACACTACGCTACGAAGGGAGAGAAACCACTGCGAGAAACCTTTTGCTGTTCCATCCAGCATGCGCGTCCACGTGATGAATACGTCAAAACATCACTTCAAGTGCACCTAGGTCCCTAGTGTGAAGCCAACAATTCTATAGCTGGATTTTTTTCCCATTTACGGGCTCCCTCATTGTCTCCTTCGAGATCACGTGGTATCTAACACGGAAAATTGTTTCCCACCATAATTTTCTAACGTCAAAGGGCAACAGTGCACTGTTACCTGGGAATCTCCTACATATGGATATCACTCACACTAAACCTAAAGTAAGAACATCGAATGAGTTGAGAAAGCACAAAACAAATAGCATGTATCCATGAGAATGTCATGGTTACAAAGGGTTCTGCTGTAAGGCACAAAGCAGAGCCGGCTCTCAAGCAATCTTTAAGGACAGTAGTTTGTGACGAAGTCTCCTGGGCAAATTAAACACTACTCGCTTATAATTCTGATTACTTAAATAACTAATGTTGCAAACTATCTTTCCGTTTTGTACCACGTTTTATTTTGTCTTCTTCAAAAAAGTCGGAATACACTGCCGAACCCTGCGAACTAACCTCATATTGCGTTTCTACAACGAGTGATGATGAAAGACGATAAAACCGAACTCGAGTGCTTGGAAACACAGCAGAAGCACTGCACACGTATTAACGCACCTGAAGGAATCTGTGCTTTAGGGTTTGATGCAGTTTGGGTTCAAGTCCTAAAACGTAATAATAGTAATAAAGAGATTTAAACGGAACTGTTCACAAGGTGCTAAAACAGTGTGATGTCAAGTGAACAAACGTTACGGAAATATACTGTAATGAAATGTTAGGTGACTCGTTTACAATTGTGGAATTGTGTGCATTTGAGGGGTCCTATCTATGAACGGTTGCGACAGATTTATACATGAGCAACGATCTTTTAAAGTCTATCCCTTTTCAGTTAAGGCAGGCCGGAGTATGGTTATTGCTTCACTGCTAAATTACACTTGCAAAAGTTTTATCAAATTCATCCCGAGATTCGAACAACTTTGTCCACGTTCCTAAAACTTACCACCGCGCGTTACAGAAAGCAGGCACAATAGTTGCAGAGTTTTCGGTGAATTCACCTGTTGACCATGAAAATTATATGGTTACTTTATATCACTTAAGAATCTAAATTAACCAGGCTTTTTGTTGCTGCTACATTTAAGTCTGTGAACACAATGCTATGGTGTGACTATTCAAGTAAAACCCCTTTAGCAACACTTTAGCACGATGCAGTTTGCTTTTCAGCATTTCACAATATAAAACTTGGGTTGATTTTGAGATGCTATTTTGAGGAACTCGTGTGGTAACGCTAATGAGTTTACAAACATTAAACTTGTCTTGTTCTTCAAACTACTCTGTGGCAAGTAGTATAGTAGGGACCAAGTGAGGCGTTTTTTGTGGTCGAATCTCATTAATTTGCGGTGGAACACATTAACGTCCATGCCTTTGTCTTTATGTTTTAAATAAAATGCGGAGGAATCTCATAAAGATAAGATCATGGTACTTTAACCCGCTGGACAGGTTTTGCTAAGTCAATGAATGTCTTGCTTCTTTGTTGGTTGACTAAAAGCGTAGAAAATTATCCATTGGTAGGCTCATGTTGACGATAAAATAGCGCTAATTCGCCTGTTATTTAAAACCACTGAGTCGTGACGTAACTCCTCACACGGCCTTATCCTAATGAGATTCCGCCGCATTTTATTCATGAGATAAAGGCAAAAGAAAGGCTATGACCTCATCACCATTTATGTGTCCACCGCAAGGTAAAAAGATTCCACCGCAAAAAAGGCCCACAGACCGGTTCCTACAGACTATACCACTTCTGTGGAAGGACTCCGTACCCAGAGGAAGTTATTGAAAACATAATACATGTAATAAACAGATGGTTAATTAAATTAACACACTGCAATTATAAAACTTCTTGCAATTACACGCATTTCTATTAAACTGGTAGTGTTCAGTTGCGGACCTCGGGCAAAAGCGTCCTTTTGTTTGCATTTTATAGTCCGTTAGAAGGGGCAAACCTGTCTTATGATACATTCTTCTATATAATCAATATCCCCTTTGTCTTCAATCAGCTCTAGCATATCTATAACAACAAAGAAAGAAAATTACTCTGAGATATTCACTGGCTATTAACTGTCAAGGTTCATACCAGCAAAGAAGAAATAACAAACTGAAGTTTAAAACAACCTCTTTGATAAAAGCCGTTTAGCAGCGTGTTGTTCTAACAAAAGAACTTCGTGCTCCAGAAAAGGAGCAATTAAAAAGGACTACCTGATAGCTCAAACCATGACAAGTTATTTTTATCAACAAACAAAGCAAAAAATGACCATGGACGTTAAAAACCCATACTACAAAAAGGAGCAATTCTGATAGCTCAAACCATGACAAGTTATTTTTATCAACAAACAAAGCAAAAAATGACCATGGACGTTACATACTGTGTTCTGCGCGAAGCCGCCGTTCAAAGTTTTCCTTCGTCTTAGTCTTCAGCACCGTCTCGCACGCACCAATATCTGGAAATTTTAGTTTTAGTTAGGTTTAGTTTTTGCCGGAAAAATGATCTGGTATAAATTAAAAGAATTTGTATGAAATGTACTTTTCTGGCAAGGAAGTTCTTTTCAAACGATAGGGACTAGGCGTCAGTCAATCACACAGTCGAACAGGCAGACAGTCCCTCCGTCAGTCCGTCAGATAGTGACTCAGCCAGTCAGAATTTGAAAGGCCAGGTCAGATGTATCAACAAAGGGGACAGACTACAAAGAATGGTTGTCGATGGAAATATATGAATGTCCTAACTTCTCATCAGAAGGATGCCCAAAATGTGTGCAATTCCACAATTGTTTTCGGCCCATTAAATCCTATATACAGTCAGTACGGACAATTTTCTTTGTCCCTAGGAAAGACCCTTACATTTTCTCTGAATTCGACCCTTGAATATGGACACTAGTTATGCTGACAATGGACACTTGTTTCTTGCCCAATCAACAGATTCTCATAGAAAGTCAAACTCGCTAATAGGGACACTTCATTGTCAACTGCGTGCTGTGATAAGCCTTTCCATTTTGAACGTAAAAAAAGACCTTCAAGTGACAGCATGCCGATGTTCCCAGCGCTACAATACGCTAGAAAGGATGAATTGTAGACGTCAATTTCAGACTACTTTAGCATAAAACGAGTTATGGAGAGGACGGTTTTTGTTTAAAAATGCATACGTGAGCAACTTTTGCATGCTTCCATAGACACAGTCCGCGGGACAACGGCTTTGTGACGGTTATAAATGTTTAATTTGACGATGTTAATGTCCTATATATTTTATTACTTTAGTATTTTGGTACTACGCCGGGACACCTTGTGATGCCCAGTGCTCAGTGTTCCGCGTACTAAGGAGGTTTGAGTGAACATTCAACTTACGTATCACCAGTCCCTTATGTTGATCCCTCAACCCTCTTAGTTCATCAGACACAAACTTCTTCATCTCTGACACAGATGACAGGTTCTGTCGTTTCTATAACAATAACCGCATTTTCTCCATTACTGCGGAGTTAGCCCAAGTCACAGTTATTAGTCCTAGTACAGACGGCTTGAGAAGCAGCCGCATAAGATGCATGGGGAACGAGATAAGTGTGCGTGGGAAGAGAGGAAGACACGCGCGAGAACAAATATTACGCGTGCTTCCTTCTCGCATCGGGTATTGCTTCTCGCAGATTGGAAAATCATGAGGTTGTTTTCTGCTAGAAACAACGTTAAGGGAGACATCTACAGGCATGAAAACGCCGCCGCCGGCGGACCCAGCCTTGACTTAATAAACTCTGTGTTTAATCAAAACAATGACCAAACTGAATCCTAATCAGTTCAAAGCAAACACTTCAGCGTGTTTTTAATTGTACTATTTACACCGCCTGCAAGAATTTTATTAACAGAAATTTGTATGAATGGTGTACCGGGCTTGTGAAGTTCTTTAGCATGTTATTTGAATGTGTGCGCGACGTGAACACAGCAATTTTCGACGTTGAGAGGTGCTTGCGTGTATGGTGAAGGCTAAATAAATGATTGATTGATTAATTGATCGATTAGGTGCGTTAAGCAAACGAGGCGGTTACAAAAAACCTAAACATACACTTTTTTTTATTACCCTGATGAAAAAAAAAAAGGTTAAGACCTTTAAACATGCTGGCACATACCCAATTGTTCCTCAACCGACTTCAATCACTGAATTTAAAATGAAAAATTACGGGTTAAGTGTCCGAAGAACAGCCGCAGCAGTTTTAAACGTTTTAGGAACACGAATCACTCTTTCGTTCTGTGGCAGCTGCGGTTTAAGCTAAAAGACGAGGAATAAGTAAAAAAAAAAAATGAAAATTAATCGTTTTTAAATGAATCAACTCTGGTATCGGCATGGAGAGATCTTATTTTGTAATTTAGTTGGAGTATTGAGAAGAAACATTACTTCTGTTTTAAGGCTGTTTATATTTTAAAATAAAGTAATTCTGTATCGCGAAATATTTTTGCTTTTCTAGCGCGTGGAAGAAAGAAGACAGGAACGCGATCTTTCTTTGCTTATCCGCGCCAATTCACATTTTTTGGGGAAATACATGTCAGCACTTTTGTGTAAGCTGCATAAAAATTAAGTTAAATTCTTCAGATTTCATGGGTTACGCATGTCACTTTCACAGTGACGTCTGTATTTTTGCTGCTTATTCTCATGTCATTTTTTTATTACTGTTATACCATGTAAATGCTAAATCGTAGCACAAGTGGTTTTTTTTTAATAGTAACTGAACTTGACAGCTGCATTTCTGTGTCGTTGTGTTACCAGATAACCAAAAGCTTACGTTTTTCCTTTTTCAATTACTCAGTTCAAAATCCTTTTCTAATTACTGAATAAATTCCATTTACTATCGCCAGAGCGTCATTATAAGAAAATAAAACAAGAGAGCTAAAATCCAGAATATACTTATCTAGAGCTATACAAACAGCGGAAAACTTTTCTTTCATGTCATAAACAAGACAACTTTTCGAAAAAGCGTCAACAAGGGAAAGCATCATCTGGCAAGGTTCAGACTCGAAAATTAAAGCAAAAGTTGAACGGAAAAGATTACCGCTATTATTTGCTGGTTTTGCTTATAAAGCTTCCAATTAACAAACCACTGTTTTTTTTTTACTTAAGGTAAACACACTTTCTCCACCTAATTACTAGTAAGAAGGAGGACAAACGACCGGTAGGCGATCTGTGTATTTAACTGTCTATTAATGCTATTGTGATGACCCATTCTGTTTGATATCAAGATGTCCACTGAAAATATAGATTTACCAGCAAACGTTACAACATTTTACTGTCCATACCAACCAATATTTACATGGATTTTAAGCGATTCAACCACGTTTCTTAGTGCTTCCATCATTACGGGCATCGCTTGTCCCGTGACCATTTTCCTGAACATTCTGGTTATCAGAGCAGTATCGAAAAGAGGAGAATTACAAACGAACTCGAACATTTTGTTAGCTAGCATGGCGGTAGCTGACATGTTAGTTGGTGCTGCTTCAATGCCTTTAAGCATCAGTTTAGACGTGCTACTTCTCCGTAAGGATTTAAGTCACACGATTTGTGAAATAGCGTTTGCTAATCAGCTGGTACTATACGCTTCTGCTTGTACATCACTGTACCATCTGACTGTGATCGCTTGGGAGAGATATGTGGCAGTAACAAAGTGGATGCATTACAACGCTCTTTTCCGTATAAACCGGACAAAAAAGTTGGCGATAGTGGCATGGCTGTTAGCTCTGTTAACAACAACTCCGGGGCGTATACTTAAGGCGGCTGGGGTGCAGTACAGGTATTTACAAATCTTGAACACTATCTTTACTCTTCCAGGGGCGGTATGCGTGGCCTTAATCATGTATTTTTATATCAGGGTTTATCGTGGAATGCACAAGCGAGTTAATACTGAAATGAACTACACTGAAAAAATCAGAAAAAGGCGCGAGAATGCCGTTGCCAAAAACACCTTAATGTTAACAGTTGTGTTGCTGGTGTGCTACGTTCCTTCCCTCACAGTACTTTTCTTCGGAATGGCTGTTCCGTTCTTACGTACAAGCTCCTTTTTTCGTTGGTCAGAGCTGCTGATTCAGATAAACTCTCTTGTGAATCCATTTCTCTACTGTTTCGCATTCAACAGTCAACTGAGGGCGGCGATTCTGGAGACGCTTAACATCAGAAAAAATGAGGTGAAACCTAAAACCGGATATAAGGAACGTCGCGCATGGCGAATGGAAATAGAAGACATTCTTGAGAAAAGAGAAGAGTTGCAAAGACAGCATAATCACACTGTTGCAACATCACAAACAGCTGATATTTTTCTTCAACCTTACCAACCAAACAAAATGGAAGAAATTGAATCAACTTCATCGTGTGAAATAAAACAAGTTATCTGTGTCGACGTACACAATCCAAAAACTATTGGAATAAAAACGACAATTCCAAAAAACGATCAGTGCTAAGGCATGAAGATTTCTATCTGGTTTTCCTCTTACAGTAAAATTGAATGTAGTTTCTAACACGATAACTCAGGCAGAAACTTGTACTTACATCATATCCCGACTGAACATCCTTCGCTTTCTGGCTGAGATAACCAAACACATTTGAAAAATGACGATCCCGTATGTCGCTGAAAACCTTTCATCAAAACCAAAAAGTATGTTAAAAAACGTTAGAAGTTGTCAGTTTAAAAAGCAGTGAGCATTTACCAAAAAAATAGCATATAACAATGTATGACAATAAGCTACGAGAGCATGTATATGAAATTATTTCCTCTATCTGCTGAACGCCGCTAACGCTCTGGAGAGCCGATAACTACTTGAAATATTGAGAGTGGTCCATTCAAGAAAGATCGGGCAGTTTTCTGCAGTTATAATCTTTTAAATTATTTTTTGTTTCACCTGATCTTGGTCATTCAGCAACATTTTTGTTGTTTGGTCTTTTCCAGTTACCTCGGGGCCAAACTCTACAACACCTGTAGACAAAACGGACCACAACTAACTCGATCCAAGTCAAAAAATATGTGAGAATCAAAACTATATATAAAAATAAAAAATACATTACTATTAATGTTCTTCATCATATAATTTTGGATTCGTCGTGACAGTGTAAGGTTTTGTTGCACGCCGCACATTCCTACATAGCATGCGGATCCGCAGATATCGCCGTTACCCGCATTTCAGTCTAGGTAATAGGAATCGATTTAGATTCATATTTTTGAAAAAAAACATTAGATAAAAACGTCACATGATTTTCGTGTCATCGTGTCATCATTGTCAAATACAAAGAAAGTCAGAAAATAGACACTTAAAAAAACTTTTTGCGGGGAGAGAGTCCCCGTGAGTGTTTTTTCGTCAAAAAAGATTTCTTATTGCCTAGGCCCTGAACGGCATCTTGCCAGGCCTTTTCGGTCAAGACCTTTCGCTACAAGATTTATTCTCAGATATGAGATGGCGCTTCGAACCTTAGCTTTGACTCTTTCTACAGTGGGAAACTAAGTTATAAACATGGTTCATAAAACCAAATTTTTGGGTTTTACTCGTGCACAGAGAAAGCTGCACCACAATTTATTTTAAAACAAACGCCTAAATTTCTACCACAGTTTAGAACCTTTTTTTCTGGGGTAACGAACTTACCACTTTTGATACCAAAGGTGTCGTCAAGCACTCCAGCGTAAGTGACTTGAGAACACAGTGGTGTAACAAAGTCAGCACCTTGAAGGCAATACAGCAAAAATAAGTGGCGAAATTAGTTCCTTCTTTACCTCTATGGCATATCTGACTAGATATAGTACAGTTTAATATTTGTGGACAAAACAGTCCTTCACTACATTTTAGGTGTCATTTGCATTATACCAGATTGAATAGCCGCGTATCTTTTTGCGAAACGTTGCTTAGGGCCATACATGCTCACTCGTATCCCTGCGTGGCCATGCAATATCCTCTATATATTTTACGAGCACAGGTAATTATAATCATTTGGAAAGTCTGACAAACTAGCAAAGTTAAGATAGTCCACCCCTATTTTCTCTCCACAAATTCAGCCAAGAAAATGCATTCCAATTTTTAAAATGATTCGAAATAAGACAGACTTATAGCCACAGTTGTGCGCACCACTCATTCTTTGGTACACAGAAACCACCACATACACTGTTTGCTTATTACTCTGCACCCAGTTAACACTACTGCTTTCGCTATGCTATGCTATGCTAGCTAGTTACAACACTTAAGAATCTGTTGACCCAAATAAGTAGGCTAAGACTGAGCAACTAACCCCTGTCAATTAGGATCAGGGAACTGATTTCAGATCCATCCACAGGGTTAGGTTCTTCAGCTAAAATGCTTTTGGTTATTTCTCCCACTACCTGCAAGGTAAAAATCATATTAATCAGCCCCTGAACTACAGGATGAAGGCGCTTTGAGCAACTTCCTTACTGAAACCGCGGCCCATAGATACATGAAGAAAATCTCTGTTAATTCTTTCCAAATTGTTTACATCACAATTTTGTTGTACCTTTTCAGGCAGAAAGGTTAGCGAGCTTCATTTTTCAAATTGAAACATATATGGTCAAAATACATCAAAGGAAAACAAAAATGAGGAAATTAATACATATCGTGCGCAGGACAGTTAGTTACCACATCAAGCCAGCAACTCGCATAGAAGGCTGAGCATGTTCTATAAAGCTGTCAGACAAACACAACATGCACGAAGACCACAACGACCACAGTGCACACAAAAACCACAACTATCACAACATACTACATTGACAACGATGACCAGGACGGCTTTGAGAATCACTAGCTGTCAGTCAAACAACCTGACATTCACAAGGACTTCGACCACCACATGTTCACTTGAATTAAAGCCTAAGTGGCCCTGTTTTAGTTTTCTTTCCCAACATGTTGGTACACACCTTTGCACAGTCTCCTAATCCATACATAGTTGGTATTGTACCATAAAGCTGTTGCAATGTGACAAGGGAACGAGCCACAAATGAGACAGATGTCTGATCACCCTCCTGAAATAACACAAGACAATTATCAGAAAAAATATGACTAATAAGCAATTTCAAATAAGGGGCCAGTGCTTGGTATAAGGATATCAGTTACCTCAAACTAATAACAGTAGCCTTAACATAGGAGGGGGGCTTAAAAATAAAAAGGCAGTTAGAGAGTCTTCTCTCACTTTTCCACCTCAATGTTCTACCTCTTGCCCCTTTCACACTTGCCACACAGGCTAAAATTAACGTGAAAAGGCTTGGAACGATACGCCTGTGGTTCCTCCATGTCTGGCCTAATTTCATGCCTTGAGCTGCGGTCAGTAAACAAACACTCTAATGGAATGCAGACCGTATCCTTCAAGGTAGACACTGACAGGGAGTCTAACCCGTGAGTGGTAACTAATATTGCGAAGCTGTTATGTGCATCCACTCACCTAGATGTTTGAAGACAATGATGGAATCTGAAGAGTTTTTACTGATAATAAATATTAGAAAATCCCCCTTACATCTCCATCGGTAATGTTTGAAAAAATCATGAAATAACAAAACTGAAGACTGTAGACACAACTGAAAGCAACCCACTAGATGAATATAATGTGTACTTACAAGAAAGTAGTCTTTGAGAAAGCTAGGCATCTCTAAAGTCAACACATCTTCATCCAAAGGTATAAATTCTAGTTGAAATTCATCAAAAGATAAATCTGAAATCCAAAGTCATTCCCTGTGTTAATGGTCACTTGTAGGCTCAGCTATTCCTTTACCATTGACAAAAAGGGAACAAAACTTACTTGTTACAAGTTTTCATAACTATTGGTGGGTAGAGTTCAGCAAACATGGCAATTAATTCCTGGCTGATAGTTGGTGCAGAGTTTTCTTCAAAGGGAAGAATGTTTCATGCAAGAACCACATTCATGTCCAATCAAGCTGATTATTCAACAAGTAGAAAAGTGGATATTTTTTTTAATGTATTTAATTTAATTAGCTGAACATGTACATCTTTAGCAGAATTAGGCAATATTGCTTTGACGCATAAAGTAATAACATACAATTCTTTGACATCAAAGCTCATGCAACCAAAATGCAAAAACGACATAATTAGTAAGGTTTCCTTTTTTCACAAAAAAATTAATCAAATGAGAAAAAATGAGGTCATACTAAGTAAAATGATCTGTAACATCACCTCCATACACTCCTTCTTGTTCCAAAATCATCTCACACACACATAACTGAAAATAAAACATTTCTATTAAACTAATGATCATATAATAATAATAATAGTAATAATTTACCAATTTATATAGCGCGTATTTACATGTGCTGATCAATAGCGCTTTACAATCATATGTTTAAAGGAAAACGAAAATACATTACCGTGAGCATAAAATAAACTAAGTTACAAACTATAAAAATACTTCTTAAAAAGATAGGTTTTAAGTCGAGATTTAAAACTGTTAAGTGATGTTGCCTGACGAAGCTCCACAAGTAGCTCATTCCAGAGTTTCGGAGCTGCTGCTGAGAATGATCTTGCTCCCAGTGTTGTAAGCATCTTTCCCTTGGGATGGTCCAATAAGAGCTTACCAGTAGACCTAAGATTATATAATGAATTCGATTTTATACTAATAAGATCGCTAAGATAAGTTGGCGCTAGGCCATAAATACATTTGAAAGTCAAAAGTAAAATCTTATAGTCAATACGCAAAGAAACCGGCAGCCAGTGCAGCTCATAAAGCGCCGGTGTAATGTGAGAAAACTTTCCAATGCCAAGAGTAAGTCTTGCTGCTGCATTTTGTACACGCTGTAATTTAGCGATCTGCACATTTGGTAAGCCAAACAATAAACCATTACAATAGTCAAGACGGCTGGTTATAAAAGCAAGAACCAAAGTAATTAAAGAATCTCTCGACAGGTATTTCTTAATACGTCTCAAGTTATGTAAATGATAAAATGCCGCATTACAAGCCTTGTTTATATGATCAGTCATGCTTAAGTTGCTGTCAAACCACAATCCAAGGTTTCTAACACATGGGCTTGGACTGATACGATTATTGCCCACAGTTATGGAACACGAATCTAATTTATCAAGCTGTTGTCGTGTGCCGACTAACAAAAACTCCGTTTTATCATCATTGATCATCAACCGATCTTGAATCATCCATTTCCTCACCGCGTCAATGCACTTTTCCATAGCTTGTATAGCATCAGCTTCAGCAGTGTTGCCGAGTGGTTTAAAACTCAGATACAGCTGCGTATCATCAGCGAAACAGTGAGCATCAGGAAGATAATGTTCCACGATCTTAAACAGCTTGGACGCATATATTATGAATAGCAAAGGCCCTAAACATGAGCCTTGGGGTACCCCGCAGTTCAAGTCAAAAGGACGAGAAAGAACTCCATGTACAGAAACACGCTGACTTCTATCAGACAAGTACGATCTAAACCAATTCAGAGCAGTCCCACGTATGGTATATAACAATACCATAACCACACCACCTAGCCCCAGTTGTTCAAAAGCTGGATGGCGCTAAACAAATGTTGGGGAATAAACCACTTGCGTTATTCACCGGATAAGTAAAATCCATCCATCTTTTGAACAAATGAATACAGTCTTGATATCTACTTGATATCTATTTCCACACCATCCCCCTCACCCCCATGGACACCAAATTTTGAAAATGTTTCCAAAGAAAATTGACTTAGTTTAATTTTAAAACATTGTAAAATGTTTACTGCAGGATATGAAATATCAACTGACCACCTCTAAGAATGGCATGCATGAATGAGTACCATTATTCCACAGTCACTGTGCATGTAAGTTTGATGAGAAGCAATCTGTCATGACCTGAGTTATTTTTTCAACATTGAACTGTAACATTATTCCATACCATGGTCTATTTCTAGACTAATATCACTGACCTTTTTAGGAACAAACACAATTTTATATGATCTGCTTTTCCCATTTTTTTTGTCATTGTTAATGTGATCTGTGGAGAAGAAAAGTTTGAATTTGTGGTTATAAAGAGCATTAGAGTTGATGCAGAATTTTCTACACCAATGATTTCTCAAAAATAATGAAGTTTTCAATATCTTTAAATGGCAGCAGGGGTTATTCAAGAGCTCATTTAATTATGACAGCAAATCTCTTGGCATACCAAGTGAAGTGAAAAATTCATGAAAGCACTGACGCTAATTTATTAGTTCCACAAATTACGTTAGGCACCCATGCAGATTTCAAATTAAAAAAATTCCTCTTACCTGCAATATACTTGGTTAACAATAACTCTGGTCTCAGCAAATATATTCTCCTACAAATATTGAAGTGTAAAACTATGTCTTTTTGTCCTCAGGCAGTTGACAGTTGGAAACAATAATAATTATTGTTTTTGATCTTTTATGTTAATTGCAACTGAAGGTGGGAAAGTAAATTTACCTTCAATCATAACAAAAAAGCTACCAACAATACAGACTGTTCCCTCATAAATATTTACTTGTTATATAATGGACAAACATAATTTTACTAAAACAAATATGCTGAAATTTTGTACGTTACCAACTTACTTGTTTCCACCAACATCAAGGCGATCAGTTTCAAGTTTAAAGATCTTATTTACCCCATGTTCCTGAGACAGAATTATGACATAAAATTGATTGGTTTGAATCTACAAAGCATGTTTGTCTATTAACTTCTCATACACTGTATCTGTTTTTATATTCCTTTTTCCTTTCTTCAGCTACATTTTTTGGTCTACCAAGTGGTTCAGTTTTCCACTGCCAATTTATTGGCTTCATTGTTATCATTTAGCTTAATAATTTATAAAATACCCCCTATTTCTTAATTCAACAAATAACTTTCACCATCCCCCTCTCTCCCCTCCCTCCCTTCTTTCCTTTCTTCCTTGGTCTGATCAAGATCACTAAAGAATGGAAGGGGTCAACTCTGTGTGTCTATTTTAGTGAGGTGTCCATTATTAAACTAACTAAAAGCAGAAATTCTCCACACTTAAATTTAAAGAACAAATACCTTCAGGAATGATGCTCCAGTGAAATGGTCCAAAGGTTTCATTAACTGAGGATCAATCACAAGGTCTTTGGTTTCTGGTACCTAGCAAAATAGAGAAGAAAAAAATATTTTGAAATGTAAAAATTTACTTAAAAAAAAAAAAAATTAGGGTGGCAGTTACAGTTCACAGCATTTTCAGCATTTATAATTTATTATTTTGACCGATCAACTCACCATTCTTTCATATGACTAACTATCAGATGCTTGCCATATAGCTAGAGTAACATGTTGAAAACCCTCCTTGATTTCAGCTAGCAGCTATTCCTGTAATCATCTTAAGAGTCTACTACGATCCCAATCTCTGAAGAGCTAAATTGTGGAGACCATCTCTTTTGCACTGGCTCTGCCGTTACGTAATCAGAAATCAACCCAGCTCCCAAGATCATATATTTTTCAAGAGTAACCAATTGTCTTCCCTGACATGGATGTAAATAACAGCATGATGTCCAAGGCCAATAAATTGGATCCCACTTTAAAATGGAAAATGATATCCCATTCTTGACATGTCCATTTTTGCCTAGTTCAAGAAATTTTTCTACCGTCTGTTAATTAATACCCTACATAGGGAAACGTATGATTTTAACTTGATTAATCCTGTTTTAGATCAAGGCTCCCACAATTTGACCCACATCATTCATACCATATTGGATTTTTTATGGACCATTAAACATAAGTGGGCTTAGTACCCTAGCCTTCGAGTGAATGTGAAGCTGAGTTTGACCTAATTGTTTTGATACCAACCTCCTTTGTTTTCCTATGAAAATTGACAGAAAAATACTAGTTAGCATTAAACTAACAAGATTTACATGAGAAAGCAGAAGGGTTGTATCAAAACTAGATCAATTCCAGCCTTGTTTCTTTCTGTAACTGTAAAATGCACTATTGTACACCTGTCAGCTGTTTCCCAAGAGAAATTGAAATGTAAACATGTACTGTATGTATATATCTCACATCCCTTGAGGGTTATATTCTGGTTATGGATAAAAAAGGAATAGCAAAAAAAAAACAAGGCAAGCAAATATACTTTGAAAAAGCATCACCAAAAACCAGAAATTATAGAGCTTTATAATTTCTAGTTTTTTTAAAATTAATATTAAAGTAAAAGTAATTTAATAATTAGGCTGAAAATACACTGACTAGACCTGGGACACACCAGGCTTTACTTAAAGATCTCAACAGGAATTAAAAAGATGCGAAAATCTATTGGCCCTGAATATTGCTTTCTTCTTTACAGTTACTTACGGATTCCAAAATTTCCACCAGTCGGTTCCTGGTTATGACTTTCAGCTCCGAGAACTTTGGTCTTGGGACCGCCATGTTGCCTTATGAGGCCTGGCTACAAAGCTGTTATTGCACGGTTATTCTTTCATGTTACGCTTACGCCAAATAGACCTAGTGTTTCATATAACAGTAATAGAATGTCCATTCTCCTGTATACCCATGTATACCCTGTATACCCTGTATACCCATGTATACCCTGTATACCCTGTATACCCTGTATACCCATGTATACCCTGTATACCTTGTATACCCATGTATACCCATGTACTCCCAGTATACCCTGTATACCCTGTATACCCATGTATACCCTGTATACCCATGTATACCTTGTATACCTTGTATACCCTGTATACCCTGTATACCCATGTATACCCATGTGCTCCCAGTATACCCTGTATACCCTGTATACCCTGTATACCCATGTATACCCTGTATACCCATAAATACCTTGTATACCTTGTATACCCTGTATACCCTGTATACCCATGTATACCCATGTACTCCCAGTATACCCTGTATACCCTGTATACCCTGTATACCCATGTATACCCATGTACTCCCAGTATACCCTGTATACCCTGTATACCCATGTATACCCTGTATACCCATGTATACCTTGTATACCTTGTATACCCTGTATACCCTGTATACCCATGTATACCCATGTACTCCCAGTATACCCTGTATACCCTGTATACCCATGTATACCTTGTATACCTTGTATACCCTGTATACCCTGTATACCCATGTATACCCATGTACTCCCAGTATACCCTGTATACCCTGTATACCCTGTATACCCATGTATACCCTGTATACCCATAAATACCTTGTATACCTTGTATACCCTGTATACCCTGTATACCCATGTATACCCATGTACTCCCAGTATACACTGTATACCCTGTATACCCTGTATACCCATGTATACCCATGTACTCCCAGTATACCCTGTATACCCTGTATACCCATGTATACCTTGTATACCTTGTATACCCTGTATACCCATGTATACCCATGTACTCCCAGTATACCCTGTATACCCTGTATACCCCGTATACCCATGTATACCCTGTATACCCATGTATACCTTGTATACCTTGTGTACCCTGTATACCCTGTATACCCATGTATACCCTGTATACCCTGTATACCCATGTATACCCTGTATACCCTGTATACCCATGTATACCCTGTATACCCATGTATACCCTGTATACCCTGTATACCCATGCATACCCTGTATACCCTGTATACCCATGTATACCCATGTACTCCCAGTATACCCTGTATACCCTGTATACCCTGTATACCCATGTATACCTTGTATACCTTGTATACCCTGTATACCCTGTATACCCATGTATACCCATGTACTCCCAGTATACCCTGTATACCCTGTATACCCTGTATACCCTGTATACCCATGTATACCTTGTATACCTTGTATACCCTGTATACCCTGTATACCCATGTACTCCCAGTATACCCTGTATACCCATGTATACCCTGTATACCTTGTATACCTTGTATACTCTGTATACCATGTATACCCTGTATACCCCTGTATACCCATGTACTTCCAGTATACCCTGTATACCCATGTATACCTTGTATACCCTGTATACCCTGTATACCCATGTATACCCTGTATACCCATGTATACCCATGTATACCTTGTATACCCTGTATACCCTGTATACCCCTGTATACTCATGTATACCCTGTATACCCTGTATACTCATGTATACCCTGTATACCCATGTATACCCTGTATACCCATGTATACCTTGTATACCTTGTATACCCTGTATACCCTGTATACCCCTGTATACTCATGTATACCCTGTATACCCTGTATACTCATGTATACCCTGTATACCCATGTATACCCTGTATACCCATGTATACCTTGTATACCTTGTATACCCTGTATACCCTGTATACCCATGTACTCCCAGTATACCCTGTATATCCATGTATACCCTGTATACCTTGTATACTCTGTATACCATGTATACCCTGTATACCCTGTATACCCCTGTATACCCATGTACTCCCAGTATACCCTGTATACCCATGTATACCTTGTATACCCTGTATACCCTGTATACCCATGTATACCCTGTATACCCATGTATACCTTGTATACTCATGTATATCCTGTATACCCATGTATACCTTGTATACCCTGTATACCCTGTATACCCTGTATACCCCTGTATACTCATGTATACCCTGTATACCCTGTATACTCATGTATACCCTGTATACCCATGTATACCCTGTATACCCTGTATACCTTGTATACCTTGTATACCCTGTATACCCTGTATACCCTGTATACCCCTGTATACCCATGTGCTCCCAGTATACCCTGTATACCCTGTATACCTTGTATACCCTGTATACCCTGTATACCCTGTATACTCATGTATACCCTGGATACCCATGTATACCCTGTATACCCTGTATACCCATGTATACCCTGTATACCCATGTATACCTTGTATACCCTGGATACCCATGTATACCCCTGTATACTTATGTATACCCTGTATACCCATGTATACCCTTTATATCCTGTATACTCATGTAACATGGCAAGACCAAAAAAGATGAATTAGCGTGTCTGAGGAATTGTTGCAAAAGGCATATATGTCATTTTCTTTTCGTCCTTTTTAAGTCAGAAATCATTGGTTGGTATGCGCCTATGTGATAGTATAAATTGGAACTCAGTTTGGTGCTACTTTGCGCCATAAAATAGGCAAGTTCTTAGTTATATGTTCCTTCTCCGTCTGAGTAGTTACAGTCTTGAAGTCATTTTAGTTGGCTTTTACGTGCGGTTAAACTATTGGCTCTGGTCAGCTTTTGGTAAATTAATGGACCTAGCTTTTCTCTTTTAACAATTCAGTTTTCACTCGGTGTTTCAGAGTTATAGTCTTTTGTCTCAGCAGTATCGGTAACATTTTTGCGAATTCGTTGAACAGCTGATAGTAAACCGTAAAAACTGAGCGGGCGTACTCTTAAATCATGTTTGGAGGCAAAATCTTTGAGAGTCAGAAAATTATCGTTTCCCGTTTGGGCGTGCTTAACTTTGGAGATACTTATTTCAAACCACTCTTTAAAAAAGAAATTTTTCATTATCTATCCTTATCAAAGAGTTGAACCACAGAGCCTGTTCTTGACAAGCGATATCAGAACTTACTTTATCCACAAAGTTTATTTCTTTCCAATATTCCAATTTTTCTTTAGTTACGGGGTCCGTTGCCCTAATCTCTTTCATAGTGTCAGAGACGTTGAGTCTCAACGGTTGAGATTACCACGGAAAATGAGATCGCGGCCGTAGTTCTCCAGTTATAGATCAAAGATAACGTTCCATTTTCCGTTTTAAGTAGCGTCCAAGTACTTTTTAACCCATGTTGTTTTAAGACATTTGTTGAAAGGATAAAGGTCAATTATCTTCAGACCTCCATACTCAGGTTCATTGATCATAACTTTTCTCTTGATTTTGTCACCTTCACCATTCCATAGAAAATGGTAAAACATGTCATTTATTTCCTTTGTAGCGTAATGATTTGAGCGTAAAAGGGAAGAGCAAGTATACCAGTTGTGATGCGGTCAGTGAGTTAAGGAGAGTAATTTTCCCTAACAACGTGAGACAAAAGCAACTCAAAAGCTTCCTAATGTTTTCAGTTTTTTCGTTGTAATTCAACGTCAAAGCCATGTATGGATCGGTTGACAGCCACAGACCAAGTGTTTGACTTTATATTTTGGCCATTTAAACTTCTTTCCTGAAACAAGGATTTGTTCATGTGCTGTCTTAGAACCGATCCAAAGAGCTTCCGTTGTGCTATCGTTTAACTTGAGGCCGGAGATCTGACAAAAATCATCTAAACTTTGTATTGCTGGTATAAGGGATTTCTCTCAACCGTCTAAGACAAGAGTGGTATCATCAGCGTGTTGGCTTATCTTAACTTCGTCATTACCCAGAGAAAAACCTGTTATGCCCTTGTTGTTTCGGACGGTCTTGGCCAAGATCTCCGCAGCAAGAATAAACAAATATGGGGAAAGGGGACAGGCTTGCCTAACTCCCCTTTGAGTCCGAAAGAAATTGCTTGAATGAGCTCATTCAACCATTGCTGAGTACACAGTTTTCGCATTTTTGATTAAGGACAGCCTTTATCCTCATCAGATGAAACTTTTAATTACTTATTATTTTAATTACTCATTATTTCGTCCGGCGTTACATTATTGGCTAAGGCAATGTAAATTCCGAAGTAGGCTAAACTGATAAACAATTAGGTAATACACAATAACTTCATCGCTCAATTTATTGTGATTTACCAAGGCCACCGACTTTAGATGTTTACTGCATAATATCAACTTCTTATAACTCTTAAAATTTCTGCGCAGGGGTGGTTTGGACATCAAAAGAGGAAACAGGGTTTGACTTTGAAGGATGCAAATTACATAAAACATACATAACTTACATAGACCTCAAAACAGTATAGTACTCTGCAAAGGGAGGTATTGGTTTAGTTACAGGAAAGGTGTGAACATTAACTTATACAAATATTACAACGTAACATTTCCCAGGTTCGCGTTCAAAACATAAATAAAACTTTACAGCGAATTTAACAACTATGAGTTTAGAATCTCTTGGGAATCTCATATAGATCTGGTGAGAGTAAGCACACTATATTGATATTCTTTGCATAAAATTATACGGTTCTCATTATCGATCATATGGTGTTTTCTTACTATTACGTCCATGCACGGTACAGAGCCACATACTATCTAGTATCTAACGTTTCCTTAGCTTATCATACTTTCTTTTTTCATCGTAAAGCACCCGTAAGGAATGGTGAAATATGGGAAGAACCATTAGAAAAGCGAAACTATTTACGACTTTGACTATTTTGCTAAACATGTCACAAAAATGACTGTTGTCATTTTTGACATCATTCTTTGAGTTGACATGCTGGATAATAGCATGCATGACAAAGAACTCGAGCTCATTCAATCCAGGATCT